GTCCCGGGGCGCTGGGCCTCGAGACTGCGCCCTCACCCCGCCGGGCAGCGCCCAGCGAGCCGCCCTGTCCTTGCCCTGGGCCCGCCCATCCCCTTGGGCAGGGCTCGCTCACCGATGAAGGACACCGCCTTGGTGTGGACGATGCCGCTGGGCAGCAGGTGGAAGTCGTACTCCTTGCCGTCCACCACCACAGTGTGGCCTGCATTGTTGCCCCCCTGGGGGCAGAAACCGGGCTGAGTCCAGGAGCCCAGACTAGGGTCCACCTGGGTAGGAGGCTGCCAGGTGCTGCCCTGTGGCCCTAGCGTTCCGTCTCCCTTCCTGTGTGACAGCCCCGGGAAGGCAGAGGCCTGGTCAGGCCCCCCAGAGCAAAGGCGGGCCTAGCCACAGGCCCCCTCCTTGGACCCCTGGAGGGCCTGGCTGGGGCAGGGTCACCCTGTTCGAGGGAGCCGCGGGGCCCCTCCACCCACCGCCTGAGACTCTGCACCCTGGCAGACCCCGAGTGCCAGGCAGCCTGTGAAGCGCGGACAAGCCCTGGGCCGCTCCCCCAGCCCAGCCCCACAGCGCCCCGCTGTGTCCACAGGCCAAGCTGTCCTGGGTTTGCTGGTGGCTGCTGGGTGATGCGGTGGGAAGGGCAGATTGGGGCTGGTGCTGGGGGCTGCCGCAGGGGCACAAGGCAAGGGCCCGGAGCCGGCTGTGGGCACCGGAGGTGGAAGGGTTGGTGCTGGGGGCCCCTCGAGCACCAAGGCCCACCTGGGTTGCGCTTGGCCAGCCGCCCAGGGCCAGGTGGGGAGGGGCCCTGAGCTGGGCAGCCAGGCCCTGGTGTGTGGGTCTGAACGGCAAGGAAGTCCTGGCGGGGCCCCTGGAGGGCAGGCCCCCACTGCCCTGGCGGTGGCACAGTTCGTGGGGGTCCGGGGGGAGGTGGGCAGGGGCGGGCAGCCCAGCCCTGACCGCCTCAGCTGGAAGTGAGCCCCATGAGAGCGGCCAAGGGGCCGGAGACCAGGCAAGGCCTGCTGGCGACCCAGGGTCAGCCTGGCCTCCTTCGGCGGGGCCAGGCCCCAGGGGGTCCCCCACTGTTGTACCCACCATTTGGGAAAGTGGGTGCGCTGGGGCTCCTGACCGGGGGGATGTCGGGCTGGGGACGGGGCTCCAGCCTGCTCTGCCCTTGGTGGCGCTGCGAGTGGCTCTCGTGAGGGCAGAGCAGGCGGGGCGTGGCCTGGCGGGCAGAGCAGGGAGGTTCTGTTCCGGAAGGCTCTCTGCGGCGGGCTCAGAGCCTGGCACCGGGGCTGACCGCGAACCCCCGGCTCACTTTAGGGGGGCGGCGGCCGAGTGGCAGCTCACCGCACTCCGGAGTGGGTGGCCGGGGCACCCAGACGCCGGCGGTGGGGGAGGCGCACACCACCCAGCACTACCCAGCACGCGGCAGGGGACTCCCGGAGCGGAGCGGGCTGCGGGCCGGCAGGGGCTGGGGCCCGAGCACCTCCTGAACCCCAGTCCTTGGGAGACCTAGGCCCCACTTGCTGCCTGCGCCCGCCTGGCCTCCTGGGGGCAGGCCATGGCGCCGTGCCTTCTCACAGCATTTCTGGGCGCTCGGGCCCAGCAGGCCCACCCTGAGCGGAGGCTGTGCGCCCGCTCGGCCACCCCAGCCTGGCCGGGGCAGACGGCGCTGGAGCAGCCGCAGCGGAGGGGGCCAGCGCCGGGCCCCCAGGGACAGCTGTGTGCGGCGCCACCAGCCTCTGGGTCACCCTGTCACTCGGCAGACGTCTCCTCCCTCCCTGGGTGCGGCCTGCTCTCCTCCAGACTCCGGTCCACTGTGCTGCCCTGGCCCCTTCCCCTGCCCAGAGCCTCTCCTCCGGGGGCCCCTGCAGTCGCTGGCCTAGGCTGTCCCAGGTGGTCCTGCAGGAGGAGGAGGAGGGGGGACCTGGGGGCCCCAACCCCCACCCTCATGGCCCCATGACACGCCCCACCCCCTGAGGATCCGGTGTCCCCAACTCAGCGCTTGTATTTATAGTTCTGCTCCCCTGCCTGGGGGCTGGGGGAAGGCGGCTTCCTGGGGGGAGGGGAGGGGTGTCAGGTGCCTGGAGCTGGGGGTAATGTGAGTGGTGGGGTGGGTGGCCCTGGATAGGGTGTCCCGCCGGGAAGACAGGAGTCCCCGAGGTGGTTGGGGTCGCGCGGACGGGGAGGGCAGGATCCCGCCGGGTCCCAGGGAGGGGGCTGGGAGCGGGTGGGGGGTCCCGGCGCCGGCCCGCACCTGGCAGCGGCTGACGATGTCGGCGTCCGTGGCCAGCAGGTCCACCACCTTGCCTTTGCCCTCGTCCCCCCACTGCGCACCCAGCACCACAGTCACCCGCGAGCCGGTCGCCGCCGCCTCCTGCTGCAGCCGCCCCCGCTTGACGCCGCCCGCGCCGGGGGGCCGGTCGTTGGAGGCGCGGGTCCCTGACATGCCGGCTCGGCCGGGCAGCGCGCCCGCGCCATTAAAAGGAGGCCCTGGGCAGGGGGGGGCTGCCGGGGGAGGGGCGGGGCGGCCTGACGCCCCCGGTGACCTCGCTGGAGCCCGCCCGCCCGCACAGTGCGTCCGCCAGCGCTCCTGGGTGCTCTCTCTGCGCGGCTCCCCCGCCGCGGGACGCCGGCCACCCACCGGCCCCAGGCTCAGGCCCTCGAGCCTTCAGAAACTGTGGGGTCCCTTCCCCGGGCGGGCGGGAGGGCGAGGTGCACAAGGAACTCGAGGGCCCGCGCCAAGGGGTGCCCCCGCGGCTCCCCCCACCGCAGGTCTCGCCCAGGGTCGCGCCCCCTAGTGGCGGCAGAGAGGACAGCCTGTCTCCCCACCGTCCCTGCCTCTTGCACCCAGTCTTTGGCAGAGGGGCGAGCGCTGCTGGGTAAGGGGAGCAGCTCTGCGCGCAAGAGGCAGGGGATCCGGGACGCCCTGCCCAGGCCTCCCACCGCAGGGCTGTGGGACTGGGTGTCCAGGGAGCTCACACTGGCGCTGCCGCCCCCCCCCCCACGACTTCCCCGGGGAAAGTTGGGAGTGCGGACACCTCTCCTGCATGGCCACCGTGGTGGCCCTGGGGGCCAGGCAGTCTGAAGGTTGGTGTGCGGGGTGGGGGGGGGTATGGGGTTGGGGGCTCTGGAGACAGGACAGGGGTTGGGGGGCATCTGAATGGGGTGAAGGCGTGGGGTCTGGGTTGCCCACCGGGAGCTATGGGGAAGATCTGTGGGACTCAGCAAGGAGGGGATGCTCCCTTCTGTCCCTCTGGGGTGGTGTGGAAAGGGGGACACTGGCTCTGAGCCCCTCTGGGGGCAACCTGGACTCTGGGCCAGCAGGTGGGAGACTGGCCCTGGACACGGCGGGCTTGCACCACATGTGGGACGGGCACTGGCGGGGCATGGCCCCTATAAATAGACAGTGGGTCTGGGCGACCGGCTTCTCTGTAAACAGCCCACAGGCGACTGGCCGCAGCTGAGGCCGCCAGTCACATGCCCGAATTAGAGCCCCGGCCCCCACCACGGGCGTGACCTGCTTCGGCCTGGGCATCGCTTCCCCACCTCTGTGCAGCCAGGTGCTGTGGCTTTAGGGGCTCCGCTCTAGGGGCCAAACCCCCAACCAGAGCCTGGGCCCCCAGAAAGAGCCCTCACTGCTGTCTACAGAGCCTGTAGGAATGGCCAGTGGCCACCCTGTGGTCATGAGTAAGTCAGGTCCAGATAGCATGTGTGCACACATCCCACACAGACACCCCCCCCTCACACACCATCCCCCCCACCTCACACACACACACTTCATACACACCATCCCCCCACCTCACACACACATACTTCATACACATACCATCCCTCACACAAACATACCTCATACACACACCATCCCCCACACACCTCACATACACATACCTCACACACACACCTCACACACACACACCATCCCCCCCACCTCACACACATACCTCACATACACACCATTACCCCCACACACCTCACACATACGCCACCCCACCTCTCACACACACCTCACACACACACCATCCCCCCACACCTCACATACACACCATTACCCACACACCTCACACACACACCATTACCCACATACCTCACACACACATCATCCCCCACACCTCATACATACACCATCCCTCACACCTAACACACACATACCTCACACACACACACCATTACTCACACACACATACCACACACACACCATCCCCCCCACCTCACACACACATACCTCACATACACACTATTACCCCCACACACCTCACACACACATACTACACACACCCCCCCATACCTCACATACACACCATTACCCACACACACCTCACACACACATACCTCACACACACTAATACCCCCACACACCTCACACACACATACCTCACACACACCATCCCCCTCCCACACCTCACACACACATACCTCACACACAATTACCCCCCCACACCTCACACATGCTACCCCCCACCTTACACACACATACCTCACACACACACCATCCCCTCACCTCACACACACATACCTCACATACACACCATTACTCCCACATACCTCACACACACATACCTCACACACACCATTACCCCCACCACACACACATAACACACACACACCATCCCCTCACCTCACACACACACACCTCACATACACACCATTACCCCCACACACCTCACACACACATACCTCATACATCTACCCCACCTCACACACATACCTCATACACACACCATCCCCCCACCTCACACACATACCTCATACACACACCATCCCCCCACACCTCACGCACATACCTCACACATACACCATTAACCCCCCACCTCACACACACCATCCCCCTCACATCTCACACACACACCATTAACCCTCCACCTCACACACACCATCCCACACACACACACCATCCCACACACACACACCATCCCACACACACACAATGGCAAAGACACAGACACAAACACAAAGATGCATCCAGACAACCCACTCCCACTTACAAACACCTCCCTGCACCCCCCGCGGGGCGTCTGGATGTGGCCCCAGGTGTGGGGCGCCCCGGGCCCTGGGATAGCAGACACTTCCCAGACTGGCTCATGGCGCCTAGAGCTCCCCGGGTCTCTGGCACACACTGGGTGTCACTGTGTCCTGAGGGTCCCGCTCCATCCTGCTGTGGGGCCCTTGTAGGGAGCAGCTCAGACCCACCTCCCTGCCTCACCCCGCCCTCCCCTGCACAGGCCAGCCCTGCCCCTCTGTCCCCGCCCAGCAGCACACCAGGCACCTGTGAGAGGCTCTTTATTCAGTGGTCTGCAGCTCGGGGGGGGGGAGGCATGGGGCAGCTGAGGGCGGGTGCAGCTCTTGTCTGGGCCTTGCACCCCAGGGGTCCTTGGCTGGGGACAGCAGAGCTCGGCTGGAGGTAGGAGCAGCGGACAGCAGGCGGAGTGAGGGGCCAGGCCCTGGCGTGGGCGGGCAGTGCCGCCGGGGGCTGTGCGTGCTGGGAGGGGCCCCTGCCTGCTGTCTCAGCGGCCCACACAGGAGACACCCCATTCACCTCTGGGCTTGACGCTGCCGCCCAGCTCTAGCATGGGGCAGACGGACAGCAGGCCGCAGGGCAGGGGCCGGCCGAGTGGACCCCTTGCCTGGGTCCTGGGGCTCCTGCGAGCCGTGTGAGCAGCCCTGACAGACGCCCCACCAGGCAGTTGGGGCCGACAGGTGTGCTGGGGCAAAGCAGCAGGAGGGCTGGGGCGCCAGGTGGCCCGGCCAGTGCCTACTGGGGTCCCGTCCGCCAGACCCTGGGGGCCTGAGGGCCCAGCACAGCCCAGGCCTGGCCGGGTAAGGCACGGAGTTCTGGTGTCTGAGGCCGGTCCCAGCCCGGCCCAGAAGCCCGCTCAGCCGCACTTGGTCCCTCACTTTGCTCTGGGCTTGGGCCTGAGGCCTGTGGGAGGAGACAAAAGGACCCGTTGGGGTGCCGGCAGCCGGGTCCCCAGGCCCTGCTGGCCCCATCCCTGTGGCCCTGCAGCACCATGCCCCCGGGTGCACCTGGACCCCAGGCCCCTGGAGCAGAGCCCAGCCAGGAGGCGGCCGTGGGCAGCCCGGTCAGCCGGCTCAGCGCCTGGGCAGGTCGGGGCTCTGGGCCCTCGCTGCCGGCCACATGCCAGAGGCACCCCCCTTCCTTGCTGGCTCCCGGGGCACCAGGGCCCACTGGCCACCGGGCCAGGGGCGCTCACAGGGCGGGACTGTCTGTGGCACCTCTTGGCCACATGACTGGCTACGCCACTAGCTGAGCGGTGTAGCTAAGCTGAGTCAGGGGTGCAGCGAGATGCCCCCAGTGTGAGGGTGTCACGTGGGGTCCTGGGCAGGATCTCACTTCCAAAACCCTAACTGTGAAGGCGGAGGCAGCAGCACCCCTGGGGACGTTGGGGACACCAGATTGCTGGGCGCACAGGGTCCACAGACACACAGGCACTGTCCCCCACACCACAGCCAGAGCCGAGCTGGGGCGGCCCCTGAGGGGACCCTGTGCTGGCCCGAGGTGCTGGTGGCCCTGCAGAGCTGTGCTCTGAGCCCCGTGGCCCCGAGGGTGAGGCCGTGACTGGGGTGAGCGTGGTGGCGCCGACTCTGGCCCACAGGGGCCCTGCCAGGCCCTGCGCCCCATCCGGACTGGCCAGCAGGGGCCGGCCAAGAGGCATGCTGGGCCGGTGCCTGAATTCCCTCGACCCCCTGCCCTCGGCACCTCCCCTCTGGCCAGCGTGGGCCCTGGGCTGGTCACAGAGCCCACCCTCCCGCCCACAGGCAGGGCCAGGGTCTGCTGCCCAGGCCTGGCGGTGTCTCGGGGCCACAGCCTCAGCACTGGCCTCTGTGACTGGGCCCAGGCTGGGGGGCTGCGACCTACAGAGCCCTCAGCCTCAGGGACTGGGCGGTCAGCGCTGGCTGCACGCAGCAAGGGCGGGCCCCTCAGCTCATCTGCCAGGCCCTGGGCGCCCTGCCAGGCCTGCCCCCGCCCCGCCCTCTGCACTGGCCAAGCGGGGCCCGCCCTGGGGTGCAGGAGGGGCGCCGGGCATGGGTTAGGGGGCCACCAGCTGCGCCATGTTAGAGCGAAGCAGGCACCACCTACCTCACTGGATCTCACAGAACCTTTTTGTTTGGCTATCACCGGGGTCGGGGGCAAGCTCTGCTTTCAAATGGAAAAAACCGCTCAGCGCCGGTGCTGGGGCGCGGCCCGCAGCAGGCCAGCGGGTCCCGGACGCCCGTCCCCTGCAGTGCTGGGGTCGGGGTGCCCAGGGCAGCCCCCGCGCAGGGACTGGTGTCCCTGCCCGGAGGGTGCAGGCGCCCGGGAGTGACCCGCTGGCGGGGGAAGGGCTGGCACGAGCTGGCCCGTCCACCTGGCCGCCCGCCGGTTACCTTCCTGGCTCCGGGATGGGCGCTTCTTCCTTCGCTTGCCGGTGCCCTTGGAAGCACGGCCACGGGGTCTGGGAAGGGTGCCGGACCCCGAGGAGTCGGTCACCGTGTCCTCAGAGTAGGATCTGTCCAGGGACGTGTCCAGCGCAGAATCCGGGGCTGTGTCCTCCTCGTCCCCATCCTCGCCGGGGCCAGCACCAGGGAGCCCAGCACCGTGGCCGGGCGCAGCTGTGTTCTCCAGCCTGTCGCTGGTGCTGTCCGCCGGGGCCTGGCAGACGCCTCCCGGCGCTGTGGGGGCCTCGGGGTCTTGGTGGGCATTCATGGCCCTGGGCAGCGGGCCGCTGCCGAACGGGAGGGGCTTCAAGGGCTGTGTGTCGCACAGCGCCCCCGGCCAGGCCCCTGTGGAGGGCTGGGGGCTCTCGGGGTCCCCCGGGGCCAGGGTCTCGCTGGCATCCATGTACCAGGAGGCCTGCCGCTCCAGGGGCCCGGGAAGGCCCTCCCCCGACGGCTCTGCAGGCGGCTGCGGACCAGGGGGGACGGCGTCCACGAGGTCCCAAGCCTGCGACTCCCTGGTGGCGTCCAGACCAGGCTGGGCGGTGGCGTGGGGGCAGCTGGCGCCTCCTGCCAGCGAGCCGGGGCCGGCTGTGGAGAGAGGGGCCGTGGTCAGGTCAGGACTCTGGTCTCAGCCCCGGTGGGGGCGGGCCCGTGCGCAGCCCAGCCCTGCAGCCGGGGCAGGGTGAGATGGATTTGGGGGCACTTCCTGGGAAGGGCGGGGGAGGCAGGGCGCAGGGCCTCACCTGGCTCCTCATCCCGCGGGGGGGCCGGGGGGCCCGGCCTGCCGCCCGCCTCAGCGTCCGCCCGGCCGCGGGCTGTCTTCCGCAGCTGGAAGCCCTTCCTGATGTCCGCCAGCAGGGCGTCGATGAGGCACACCTCCTCCTGCTGCCCGCCTCCTGGCCGGCCTGAGAAGCCCAGCCGCTGACCTCAGCCCGGGGGGGCGGCCCGCCCCGCTCCTGCCCCAGGCCTCACCTGGCCTCCCGGCCTGGCCCCTGGGCCGCAGAGCCTCCTCCTCCGCCAGCTGCTGCTTCCTCCGCGCGGCCCGGGCGGCCTGCTCCTTCCGGTCCTTGTTCTCCTGCGAGTGGACAGGCAGTGTGACGCCGGGGCCGAGCGTGCCGGGCGGGCCGGCCGCCGAGGGGCCCAGCCACCTTCAGGGCGCGGACGAAGAGGTCGCGGAAGGCCTTCATGGTGCTGAAGGTGTCCTCCAGGCTCAGCTGCTGGGGGTCCTCGCACAGGTAGGCGGCCAGCTCCTGCCGCTTCTGCGCGATGGCCTGGAACACCTCATCCAGCGCCCGGGAGGCCTCGATGCTGGCCTGGGGCACAGGGCCGGTCAGGGCGCGGGCGCGCGGGGCGCAGGGGCGGACCCCCGCCCCCCGCCCCCGGCGGCGCTTGCCTGGAGGCGCTGGCTGTACTGTCCCTGCACCTCGGGGGCTGAGCCCCCCACCCTGCGTGCCATCTCCTCCAGCTTCGCCAGGCTGGCGCTGGACTCGGAGTGGATGAGCTCCAGGTGGATCCTGAGGACACAGGAGGCTGGAGGCCGGCGACAGGCGTGGCCGCTGCAGCCCAGGTGGCCCCTGGGCGGGGCATGTCGCGCCTTGGAGTGACAGAGCCGGGGGGCTCGTGTCCTCTGCGCCGCCTGCACCGGCCGCGGTGTGGGGACAGTGGCCCTGTGCGCCAGCCTGTCCTTCCTCCAGGCCCGGCCGAAGGGCTGTGCACGGGCGTCCTGGCTCTGGGGCGGGGGGTGCTCACCCTGCTGCCTGGGAGGGCGCCTCCAGCTCCTGGGGCAGCTGCAGGAGGTCGGGGTGGCTCCTCTCCGCCTCCTGGAAACAGGCCTGTGAGCCCCGCCCCGCCCCGCGGCCCCTCAGCTCCCACTGGCCCTCGGAGGTGCTCGGTCCGGCTGGGCCTCCCGCCCTCCCTGCGGCCACCCCTCCCCGCCCACCTCCAGCACGTGGTGCAGCAGCGTCACGCGGCTCTGCTGGGACTTGGTCTCCGTCAGCTTGAGCAGGGTGCTCATCTTGAAGCCGTCTGCGTCCCCGGTGTGGCTGCCCTGGTGGGGGAGTGAGCCCCAGCCTTGGGGGGG